AAATATGGTATAATGTTTTTTTTTTACATCATACCCCTCACTCCCAAGCCCCCCTCCTTGTTGATATTTCTGTCACGCTCCTGAAAATTACGTAAACTTGAAAATGTGGCCTCACAACTTCCAAGGTACCTAGGATTACCAATTCCCACAAAGGATTAGACTTCAGAGACGACTTTACCAGTTTTATCAACTGGAAATTATTTTTTTCTGTGACAAATCATTTAAAAGATTTGTTAAAGACCAAATTTACTCTTCAGATCGTTAAACTTAATGAGTTTTAGGTCGCCATTAAATACTCATCCTTTTTGGGTAACCTTGTATGTGAACTTAAGGTAGGGGGACAGGGGTTAAACACATTTAACTGTTACGTATTTACACTGTTCAGAACTGTTCTTATCAAAACAAAATAACAAAAGTTAAAAACAAAAGTCGGAGCTTGCCCACCAGGCCAAGAAGGCCATGGCTTGTTTACCAAATGTTTTTTTCGCCCTTAAACCAGTTTCGGAGTTGTTCCAATGCGTCACAATAATTGTACACAAACTCTAGCCCCTTTCCTAATTATTACAGAGCGTCTCATATAATACATGAGCCTTAACACACCCCAAAATACGCACATAATACTCGAAAAACCTGGTTTTTCTAAATGAACATTTTTATATTAGCCTTATATAATTTTTTAACGATTCATTCTTTTGAAATTTTCTTATTAGTCTTGAAAATCGCAATTTAAAGCTATAAACAATCCAATAGGATGTGGGACACCCTGTATGGATATGTACATGGATTGTTTGACACCAAACTAGATATTTAAAAGTTAAACAAAAATTAGCATGTTTTAAAATTCATCTTTGATCTCCGTGACATTCTCTCCTTGGTTTAAAGTAATCGTTTTAATAGCTATATCAAAAGGAGGCGTCTGATAAAGATCCATTGCAATTTTGCAAAAAAAAGGTTGTTGTATATTATTCTTTTGTCACAATAGTATATATAGTATATATAGTATATATAGTATATAGCATATTTAAAATTCAGTGATGGTGATGGACCAAACCTCTGTAGAGTAAAAAAAGTAGATGTTAGGTCCACATTTATTGAAAATATATTTCGGTCTTGGTTGACCCTCGTCAGTTCTAACGATATAATAACCATCAAAATCTATAAAAAAAAAATAAAAAAATTGTTAAAAACCACAAGAAAATAAACAAACAAAATAGATTATTTAAAAAAAATATTTTGGTTTTCAAATGGACATAATGAAAACGAACTCAGATTATGAGATGGAAAAAAAATAATTTGCAAATATTCACTTTAAAAAAATGTTTTAAGACAATTATTATTCCTTGAGATTGTTTCTGTCACAAAGATTAAAAACAAACTATTTAGATGTATCTGTATATTGTGGTGCTAAGCATATTGTCACAAAACATGGAAATGCTTTATCCTTGGAATCCTTGATAAGATCTAAATATTCGGGTTTTAAGATTAAGAAATAAACATGATATTTTGAAAAAAGCAATTAACTAAAGGGAAACTAATTTTGCATATTATTATTTATTATGTTCGTTACACATGTGAAATAATTGCATATTTGAAGCCCTAAACTTCCGATTCACTTAGGCATGAAGCCTCTTGGGCATGCAGTCACTTAGGCATGTAGTCTCTTGGAAAAAGTGCATGCATTCTCTTGAGCATGCAGCTCCTTGGAAATTAAGCCTCTTGTGCAGTGCATGCAGTCTCTTTGGTATGCAGCCTCTTGTGCATGCAGTCTCTTAGGCATGCAGCGTCTTGAGCATTCAGCTCCTTGGACATGGAGCCAGCATCTTATGCATGCAGCCTCTTGAGCATGCAGCCTCTTGGGATTGCAGCCTCTTGGACATGCAGCCTCTTGGGTATGCAGCCTTTTGGGAATGCAGCCTCTTGCGCTTGCATACTCTTTTGAATGAAGACCTTAATCGAAAGCTTATGTTCAAAGTCGTGGACGATTTCTCTCCAAATTATTTTAATTTGTCATGACTAAAACCAAGTGGGAAAGCAAGAATACTAATACCATGCTGTAAACTCTGGTTCATTTTAAGTACTGGACCGGCTTTTAAGGAGCTAGAGCAAACTGTTCATTACACGCACAGACCACGTGGATTTAACGGTTCAGTCAATATTTCAGAAAGCTGTGACTACCGATCACAATTTGACCCCTTATACATAACTTTATAGCCTTTTTTCTTAAATAATTTTTTGATGGCATATACATTTTTAATGAAAAAGTAAAGAGTAAACAAATTTGTAAGTTTAAAGATTGTTGAAATAAAGACGAAAACATGCTGGATTTCAAATAAAAGAAACAGGATGCTTCTGTCTGTGGTAAGTTCAGTGTGAGACTATATCAGGCAAAACGGGACGGTACACTAAATGAATCAGTCCCTTCTAGGGAGATTCTAGTGATACAGATAAAATCATAAATAAAGATAGATTGCTCATAAGACGACATTTTTCATCTTGAAAGATATAAATGTACAGAGATGTTTTAAATATATTCCTATTTTATAGATTAACTAGGTCGGTTGTGCAAACATTGGCTGTTCTTATGTCATTGAGTACATGTGGTGTACATGAGTTCTGTAAAAAGAAATTTAAGTTTATAGTTTAGTCCTTATCAATGAAGTTAACCTGGGAAGAAATCAATGAAGAAACAAATTCTGTATTTTGAATGTACGCGACAAATGTATTCAAATATATAATAAATGTAATAGACAAATGTATTGAAATATATAATGAATGTACGCGACAAATGTATTGAAATATATAATAAATGTAATAGACAAATGTATTCAAATATATAATAAATGTAATAGACAAATGTATTCAAATATATAATAAATGTAATAGACAAATGTATTCAAATATATA